TTGGGCCAATCTTCTGTGTAAATAAAATAATATGAAATAATTCAAACAAAATAAAATAAAACTTACAGTATTTATTTTGTAGAACCGAATAAATAATTCAAGACCAAGTCGAGTGTGTGACATTCTGTTCTTAAGACAGATTCACCCCGCTACGGTGCTTACGGTTGAGTGGCGTCTATCTCCCAGGATACAATGATCTTCACAAATTGTAGTAGCACTCGAAACAATTTGTTCGGTGAACCAAACCTGTGTTCTAACTCTCTAAATTTTATTCTAAAACTAGAATGAAGAATAAAACAAATGCAAACAGATATAATCTGGACAGCAAGGAAAAGGGACTTTACAGACTGATTTTGGGATCATTTCGTGGTTGTCAACCTCTTGGAATAGGATATCAATTTATAGGCAACTTAGTAACTATTGGCACAGCCCGAATAGGTACAAAAAGAGGTCAACAGGTGCCAAATTCAAATGGACAGATCTGTTGCAATTTTATTAACTGTTTGGCGGTTTTAAAAACTGTCTAAACATTTTTGAGCAGTTATCCAATATGTCAAGAACAAATTGAACCTATTGAACTATGTTTTGAACCTGTTCAAACCTGCTTAGCAGATTTAAATCTGTTTGAAAATAGAATCTGTCCGAAATAGCAGAAAACTATTTTGGACAGCTTTGAAACTGTCCGACAATTTAAAAACCTGTTAACAGTTTGGGAAAAAAAAAATGAAACTCGGAGGCACAATTATTGGACAATAAATCTGAATTCAAATTCGAATTTGAAATAATTTCTTGCAATAATTTTTGAAATAAATTGAAAAGAATTTTGTTCAAAAAATTAATATTAGAACCGACCCACAACCCACACCCGCGCTCGGCATGGCTCGGCCGGACAAACGATGGCGGCGGCACGCGCGTGTGTGTGGTGGTTTGGGCTAAGGTTTACTTTGTCCATAACTTCTCCCTTCTACAAACTTGGGGTGCCCCTTAGGGCCCAACCCAAGTGTTGTAGGCTAGAGCTTATATACACAAATAAACTATATTAAAGTTTCAATGTGGGACAACCCATTAAAAGAAAACCTATATGTAAATCTTTAAATGTCCATTCCTCGAACCCGAAAACGACGTCATGTTCCCATTTACCCATAAATGGTTTTGACGAACCGTCTTCACCGTATGACTTGGCACGCGGCAAGGAACACTTCACCTCTTCGGACCCACCCCAAAAGACGTTTGGGGCCCATTTAATTTTGGGCTCAAAGTCGGCCCAAAATAAGCCTAATAAACCAATTTTTCCAACATTTCGCGTGCATTCGTCTCTTCCCTCTCCTTTTGGCCGTCTTCTCTCTCCATCGCAACTTCTCTTTCTTTGTTCTTTTCTTCTGGTTCAAAGCTCTGTCTGTGTGCATTTTCTTTGTCCATCTTCTCCTTCTCACTCATTGTTATGCCAGTTGGGGTTTAGGTTTGGGATTTGGGGCAGATGGAGAAAGAGAGAGAAAGAGAAAGAGAGGGAGGGTTTTGAAGAGTTTTTGCAAAAGAGAGAGAGGAGGGTTTGGGATTTGGGGTCTGATGGAGAGAGAGGGTAGGGGTTTGAAGAGTTTTTGCAGAGACATGAGAGAGAGAGAGAGAGAGTGTGTGTGTGTGTGTGTGTGTGCGCGATAAAGAGAAAGTGAAAGGGTTTTGTTCAAAGTTATGGCTCAAAACGACGTCATTTTGGAATTTCATCACCCCAACATTCATGCTTTATATATTGGGATCGATTTTTTAATTTTTAAAAATTATTCATATCCTTTGTAAAGTTATATAAAATTGATAAATGTTTTAAATTTCTTCACGAAACTAATTTTTAGTCTTTTAAAAAAAATCTTCAACAAGTTTCAAAAAATTAAACCAAATATGACCACCAATAAAATTGACATTTTTTTTTTTTTAAAATCCGAAGAGAAGTCTAAAAGTTTAGAGATGAGCGAGAAAAAAGAAGGGGGTGGGGGAGGGCGTGAAGGTAATTAGGGATTAAGTTTTTGCAACGAGTTTAAGGACCATCATTAATGAGCAAAATAAAATCTTTTGTGACGGATTAACAAAAGGCGTTGTAAAAAAAAAAAAAAAAAGGCAGGTAATATACCGTCGCGTATAATATTACTTTTGTCATGGCCTTGGATTTTCTATCTCTAATAATGGTATTTAGTCGATGCGTTTTTTGTGACAGTCAAATGCCGTCGCAAAAAAATTAGTTTCGTGACGATTTTTTTTGCCGTCACAAAATCTTGCTTTTTGCGACGATTTTCAAATCGTTGCAAAAAGTTCCGTGTCTAAAGTCTCCTTTTCTAGTAGTGAGTCGTCCTCTGTCATTCATAGGTAGAATAGAGGCGCAGATTTGGGAATTGTATATTTTATATAAAAATCAAATTAAAATATTTTATACAATCACACCTATTTAGGAAGTGTGATTAAAATATAGTAATGTATATATAATCACACTTTAATTAGAAGGCGTGATTAATATATATATATATATATATATAATCACACTTAATTGAAAAGTGACATAAAAAATAAATATTATCACACTCAATCAAATTAAGTGTGATTAAAATAGCAATCTAATTTTTTTATCACACTTCCAATAAAAGTGAGATCTTTTTTTTTTTTTTTTTTTCAAAGGGGGATTTTTAATATTTTTGTAATAGTGATTTTTTGAAATTGTCACGTACTAATGAATGAAAAATGAAAATACTTTTGGTCTTTCTTTTCTTTTCTTTTTTCAAGGAAATAAAATAATCAAAATTATTGTACACACTCTTAAAAATGCATACCGTATGCCCTTTTATAATTACACTACAATGATTGGTTACAAAATCACAATACTTAATAACTTTTTTCAATATAATAATACATAATATTAAATAATAATCATAATATAATTATAATAGTTCATTATACTACCATAATAATTCGTAACTAAAACTTTTTTTGTGATGCATCCCTTCGTAACATAATTATAATGATTTGTATTAACACTATAAAAACTCGTAACTATTCTACAAAATATAGTATATAAGTAAAAAATAAAAATAAAAAGTTTGGAGGGTCGAAGTGCAATTAAGTAACACATAAATCATATAAATCACATACAAATATTAACAATCCTAGCAACTTGGCCGCGGTCAGGACCCCCCTCCCTACGCCCCTGGTTGGATCGGTTGGTTTCACATCCGTCAATAGTCTGAACTTAGGCAGATTGAGAAAAATATATTCATATCTGTCTTCTTGGACTACTAAAATTGTTCATGTTGTGGTGGATTGGTTCGGGTCATTTGATTTTGACAAATCGGGTGGATACTTATCCACCCCTCCAACCCAAGAGTAAAAATTCAATATAATGGTGATATTCCTAATATGATATCATCAACGCATAATAAAACTATATGATATAGAAGGTAAACTTTAATTTTCTATATTGGGCTGGGCTTGAACAAGGAAGGGCAATGTCCAGTAGTTCCGTTCAAGGGAGAAATTTAGGTCTTTAGCTGGGATTGTAATGCCTCATGGGCTTACACTGATAAAGAGCACTTTCAAGGCGAATTCTATTTACACTCAAAAAAATTATTAAGTATATTTAATTAAAATTTTAATTTTTATTATATCTTAATGTAAATTTATTAATAAAGACAATACAAATTAAACTTTAAAATAATAATTTTTTTTTTCTCATGTTACACCCTAATAACATGTACCTATTCTTCATCTTTTTTTCTAAGTTTTAATTTCTTTCTCTTCTTTTTCTTCTTCACTCCAAAACTCTAAACCACCACATCAAAACTTACCATTATCATCAACATAATTGTTTCTTATCCTTGCGAATAGAAGAAAGTTTGAACAAAATCAAACAATGAATGAAAATAATAATAAAAACTATTTTTTGAAATAACTCATCAAAAAAGAGATAAGTATTTACATAAATATCAAAATATACTATTGTTAATGCTATTTGGCATGGTGCTTATTTGTTATTTGGGCATATTGTGCAGAGGCCTTTGCAAAGAACTGCTCTTTCCGCATAGTGCTCATGGTTTGGTCCGAATGGCGGGGTGTGGTGTTAGGTCATCTATTTAGTTTGAAAATGTCCCACCTGCTTTGGTGTCTCATGTGTTTGATGAAGCTTTATAGTTTGGCTTTCAGTTTAGACAATCAAAAAAATGAAAAAAATAAATAAAAATACAATTCTTGACTTTTGTATTTTTTTTTAAGTAAAAACAAATATTTAGTCTATTTAACGTTATTACTGTTCAGACTTTAGATCTGAACAAAATCAACATGTTCGGATTTGAAAGTACGAACCAAACAATATTGTTCGATATTGTAAGTCCAAACATAATGACTTTGTTTTTATTTGAATGTACCTTGAAAAATAATTTTAAAAAAAATTATAAAATGCACTAAGAATAATATAAAACTTATATTGAGAAATTGAGAATACTTAATAATTTTTAGTGTAAATAGAATCTCCCACTTTCAAGTTTCAAACCAATTAAAATAGTGAACTATTGACCAACATTCGATTACGAAATGATTCATAAGCAAAAAAATGCAGAGATGTAACTTGTAAGTTAGCGCAAGATGGGTGAGGCAACCAACACACAACCCTGCATGGGTCATCAGTCAACATTCAGCTCACCCAAAAGCAACCCTTTTTTATATTCATCATTTCTATTTTCTTGGAAACATTTTCCCACTCTCCAAACACCAAGAAAAATCCCTCATTGCTTCCTCCCACAAGAAAAAGCCGAGTCAAGCCCAAGGCTGAACTGTCGAAGCCTATTCATTACCACCACCCCTTGGCTAAATAGCTAACTTGTACAGAAACATCAAGTTTGGTAGTGTTAGCTCATCTTCTCATTTCCATCTTCTTTTTTTTCACCTCTCTCACATACCACTTTCTCTCTCACTATTAGACACACTTTTATCTCTCTTTCTTTCTCCCTCTCTCCATCTTTCTCGAGATGGAATTGCCGGTAAAGTTGCCTGTTTCGGGTGGCAAAAAACCTCCATACAAAATAGAAACCAAAAACTTGTCCTACACATTTTGCAGCCCATACAATGAATTCAATTGGGCTCTTCGGCATTGCAAGACGGCGAAGAGGTCCCCTAGTTTCATATTAAAAGATGTGAATTTCGAAGCCAGGCCCGGGGAGATCACCGCCATTGTGGGTCCTAGTGGGGCTGGAAAAACAACACTGCTAGAAATTGTCGCGGGAAAGGTATCGTCGCCAAGTAAAGTGTCCGGTCAGGTACTCGTAAACCACGGTCCCATCGATGCAAAATGTTTTCAGAGAATTTCAGGCTATGTCACTCAAGAAGATGCTCTATTTCCTTTACTAACTGTTGAAGAAACACTAATGTATAGTGCTCTTTTGAGGCTACAGGGTGGGAAAACAGAGGCGGCGAGCAGGGTCAGAGTTCTGATGAATGATCTTGGATTGGATATGGTGGCGGGTTCACGGGTAGGTGAAGGGTCGAACCATGGTGTTTCGGGAGGGGAAAGGAGGCGGGTTTCAATTGGAGTTGAGTTAGTCCATGATCCTCCTGTTGTTTTTATTGATGAACCAACTTCAGGGTTGGATTCAAATTCAGCATTTTCTATATTGGGCTGGGCTTGAACAAGGAAGGGCAATGTCCAGTAGTTCCGTTCAAGGGAGAAATTTAGGTCTTTAGCTGGGATTGTAATGCCTCATGGGCTTACACTGATAAAGAGCACTTTCAAGGCGAATTCTATTTACACTCAAAAAAATTATTAAGTATATTTAATTAAAATTTTAATTTTTATTATATCTTAATGTAAATTTATTAATAAA